GACCTGATCCGATTCGAAGCATCAAATTTACCTGACTTGACTTGTATCCGATTTTACCCGACATGTCAGGATCGGACTGCAACCTGAACGATTACCCGATTTTACAACCCTACCAAAATGGTTAAGGTATTTTGTATGTTTTGATGCACATATGATATGCTTTAGTTGCTTCACAGTTTTTTTGTAAAGGTTTTGATATTAGGGGTATCAATGTTTTCACACACTTATGTAATGTGTCAATCATCATTTGTTGTTGTTCGTCTTTTGCGATTAGGTTGATATCAAAATATTCACATTTCGTTTATCTTCATTTTCCTATAATGGATTTCCATGAAACCCTCATAAAATTAACGAAATCAAATAATTTTTTTACCAATTTATAGGAGTTCGGATACTTCCTTATATTTGAGAGATTTTAGGTGTCTGTTCAGAAATATAAACAGTGGGGGCATTATTTTGAGAAGACCAACAAAATACCTCAAAATTTGTCTTATCAAACAGTCATCGGAAAAGTTCTAAATATTAGTTCATCAAACTTTTAAGCAAACTTTTTTCGATTTTGAATGGATTTTGTGGAAAATCAATCCTATGAGATGAAAAATGAGTAAAATGCATATGTTTTAGTATCGATATTTTCTCGAAAGATGACCAGTGACAGACAAGGATTGATTGTCGATGAGGTCGAAGAAGTACAATGCCAAAATGTAGTTCGTTTAAAAAGTTTAATGTGAAAATCAATACACCCTAAAATTTAGTGCCTAAAACGTCGTTTTAACGACATTATTTTATTCATGTAATTACAATAACAAAAAAAATACATCCATATCATCATGTCAATAAAATTTAGTGAGCTAGTGATACAATTGAAATTAAAACCAAATTCAATACTATAATTTTAAAAAATAGAAATTTTATTATGTAAACGATACATAGTATAAAATTCAATAATATCGTATGTAAATTTTAAACTCAAAATCTAATTGTATATCCAAGAAGGGAAAAGAAAAGAAATCTTAAATCCAAGGAAAAGTCTTGATGAGTGTTCAGAATAGGTAGTATTTGCTCGTTAATTCTTCGATCTTATGGAATTATTGTTGCTGATTTGGTTGTGTTATGTTTGTTTTCGTGCATGAACTTACTTTCCAGAATTAGTGGTAAAATGGACGCATTATTTTTTTATTATTTGGTCACTACTGGAGATATGGACACGACTCTAGGCATGACACTGTCTGACAATTTTTAGAAGGCCCAATCAGTTGCAGTTTTTAGAAGGTCCAATCAGTTGTAGTTTCTAGAAGATCTAGTCAGTGCGCCTTCTGGAAGATAGAGGTTATAAATACCCTCTTGGGGTAAGCCTAAATTCACAAATCAAATTACAACATTTTTCTTTCTAGTTTTATAAAATTTCTCTTCTTTATTTTTCAAGTTTTTGGTTTTTACTTTATTTTTAAGTTTTGTTTTTAAATATGCTAAGTATAACTTTTTTTCATGCTTAGCTAATTTTCTCATAAGCCGAGAGTTGAAGCGATGACTCAATTCAAACGGGAGAATTGAAAAAGGCATTTAATAACTTCGGAATATCTCTATCAATCTCTCAGCTTAATTTTCAAAATCAAAGATTGACTTTGGTCAAGATGTTGTTGCGATTAAACGTGTGGGAGGAAGGATCAACTTATTGAAATCAAATTCGACTTCCTGGGAACACACTTGGCGAGATAGTCTTGCCAAGAGGGAATTGAGATCGAAATTAATGATTATTGAAACAACAATTCGAGTCGGTCGCCACGAACTTAAACGGTAAATGATCTATGACAATTGTTATTGATCAGATCAGTTTCCGAAGCCGGAATCAAAGATTGCCTTGGGTATTCGTTATACAAAATAAAGTCAAAAGGATTGTCATTGTAGACAAAATAATCGACGTGAATCTCGAAGGAAAAATATAATTCGATGATCTAAAAGAAATTGAGTTAAAGCAAGGCTTGAGGTTATTTTTACCATATTGAATTTCAAACGTTACATTCTTTATTTTCTTATCTTTACTTTTAAATCTCCTTTTACTATTTGATCACATTTTTCCAAAACCTCATATAGAAATTTAAAAAAATTTAAGTCCCTATTGAATTGACTTATACTTTTTTTTCTAAGTTTTTTTATTTATTAATTAAAAGATTTATTTTGACATCAAAATGACAATGTATAACCTTGTGCAAAGAAATAGTGGGAAGCCACGAAAAACAAGAAAGTTCCCAAAGATGTATTATAAAATATAAATTTAATAACAAAAAAATATTTCGATGATCTAATCCCCTTACAAGCATTGTAAGAAAGAGGGTAGCACGCAAGCAGTTGGCCCAGGCAATGGTTAAGGAAAAATTAAACAAATTGGAAAAGCCTTCAACAGAAGTGACCCCAACGGCGCCTCAACTGTGCGCTCCTCGTTATCTCTGTAGATTTACGGGGTTAATGACCGCCGATTTCATTTTTTACTTCAATTACTTTGGAAACTTCGTTTTTTTTTCTTTTAATTTAAACTTTTGGTCCTTATATTCTCATAGTTGTATAATACTACCATCTGTAAATTTAAAATATATATTTCTTTTATAGTGATTATGTGGCATAATCATATAAATAATATGTCATTAAAAATGTAAGTTCAAGTATTCAGTTTTTTTTAATAAAAACTAAAATTGTAAGTTCAAAAATAAAAATAAAATTAGACACACACACACACACATATATATATATATATATAAAAGATAAGATAAGATCCACTTACACAATGTAAATTATTTAGTTTTACACAAATTTAATATCGTTAGATGAGTGAAAATAGATGGTTGACATTGACTCATTCTTTTTTTCAGTGCATAACTTCTCATTTCCTAATGTTAATCTCAGCCATCTATTTTCACTCATCCAACTCATCCAACTGTCCTAAATCTATGTAAAACTAAAAGAATTTTACATTGTGTAACAAAATCTTATCCATATATATATATATATATATGGCCCAAACACCAAAATATATATTTTTTCAATAATATTCATTTTATTATTGAATTCACTTAATTTTTTTGCACTAAAATAGATCAAAATTTTAAATTAGTGTGACAAATTATATTGTCCCTTAATTATATTCATGGCATAATAAAAAGTAATTGTAGAATCATAATATTTGTTATCCTTGATTATTCTAAAGAAATTACAAGAAATTATAATGCATGTAATTTGTAGTTATCCGGTTACTTATTTCTTACAATAAATAATCTCAGTTTCTTATATTTTATAAATTTAAAATTTAAAATTATACACAAATATTTGTTAAATGTTAAATTTAATATATTGATTTTGATTTTAAACTATTATATAAAAATGATTTTAATTTATTTTTTTATAATTTATTATCACTATGGTTATTGATTAGCATAATATTATTTCACGATTATATATATCATAAATGTAAACAATTATATCAATTCAATATAAAATCACACAGATGATTGTAAGATCAAACTAATTTATAAAAATAAAACATATATTTTATTGGATAAAGTACCAAATGATCTATCGATTATAACTTATTACTTCATTGAGTTTCAACTATTAAAAGTTAGTCTCATAACTATTAAAAGTTTCAAAATAGTGACCTGACTAGTCATTATGTTCCAAACACATCTTTTTTCTGTTAAAAATGTAACGATCGTCTGAGCTGGAGGTTAATATGTTGACTAGGATATGATAGTCATTTGAGATTATGATATCATATTTTATCATATTTGAGTCAGTAGATTAATGTCTAGCTCAGACTGTCGTTAATTTTTTTTAACAGGAAAGGATGAGTTTGGAACATAATGAATAGATGGGTAACCCTTTTATAACGTTTAATAATCAAGAGACTCAACAAAGTAATATATTATAGTCAGGGGACCATTTGTATACTTATACATTTATAAAATATTGGAATAACTTTATAAATATCAGGGTAAACTACACATTTAGTATCGCAAGTATCACTTTTGTTTAGTTTGGATAATCCAACTATTATTTTTCTTCAAAATCATATTCAACGCTACATTTTGGTCACTTGTTATTAAAAAGAATTAATAGAATTGCTAGCGTGACATTTAAAAAATTTAATGTTGACATGACATTATCTTATGGTGACACCTCAGCATCATCGTTAATTTTTAACGTTGAGTGACCAAAATGAAGCTAAAACATAATATTGGGCATGATTTTGAAACAAAAATAATCTAATGATCAAAACAGAATAAAAGTGATAGTTAAGGTACTAAATATATAATTTAGCCTATATTATTTTATTTTTATAAAATATTAAGTTAATATCTAACGTAAATGCAGAGTCGGAATTTCAGACAACTTTGATTAAAATAAAAAAGAACAACAATTGATAATACATAGCAGTGATCTGGCGTAATAAAGTAAAGCCAGGACAAAACCGTACGAAAAGCGTGCATTCACGCGCTTATAGTATAATCTCCTCAGACCATGGCTAATCCTTCCCGCCAATATTTAATACCAACACAATTAACTAATTAAAATTAATAACCCATTCTTGGATGTAGTCCCCTCCCCTTGCCCTCCAAAATTAAACACTTCAAAAAATGGAAAATCTTATCAGTTCCTTTCAAAAAAAAGAAAAACCATACACACAATGAAACCAAAGAGAAAAAAAAGAAAAAAATATTGAGGAAGAGAAATTAAAAAACAGAACACAGTTTGTCGGGGTGGCTGGTGGGGGGGGGGGCTCCACGATACAGCTTAGAAAGGGAAAAACAGAAAAGAGTTTAGGAGAGAGAAAGAAGAAGAAAATCTGTGGAAAATTTTGCGAGAAGAAATAAAAAAAAAAACTTGGACGAGAGAGAGGGAGAGACCAATGGGGATGATCGAAGAGGTGGGATTACTGCTCTGAGACTGCCGAGGCCCGAGAATCATTATATAAAAAAGGCAGTAAAAGAAAAAAAATTCTGGGTTTTCTTAATTGTTTTTTGTTGATTCAAATTCTAAATCTTTTTTACATTTGCTTTTTCTTTGCTGCCTTTTTTAAATCTCTGATCAGATTTCAGAAACCTCCTCTCAAACACCTTGTCTTCCTAACAAAGAATCTATCATTTTTCTACTTCTTTTTTTATATTTGTTTTTCCAAAATCCCAACATTACCATTTGCAATTATAGCACCAAAGAAGGGGGGAGAAAAGTTTTTTTTTGTACACCCTTTATGGTAAATTCAACTCTCCCTTTATTGCATTCGATACCCTGTTGCTTTTTTTTTCTTGGATTGCTTGCTCTCTAGGTCATTCCGTTGCTAACAATTTTTTCATTTTCTTTGTGGGTGTTTTTGTCTTTCTATTTTTTGCCAGCTTCAGGCTAACGGGTGTCGTAAGATCAAGTGAAAAACAGAAGAAATGGGAGACCCTGATTTGATCAAAGGTGGTGGATTTACGTTTCCATGTGATACAGTTTTGCACTTATGCATTCTGTTTTTTTAACATTTTGGTGGTGGTGGTGATGCTTTCATTTGTAGAGTGAATTTGGAAGAGTTGTGTTTTTGTACAAGGAAAACCTGGCGTTTCTGCATAGCGTCTACCTCTGCCACTGCAGAAATTGGCTTATCAAGTAATGGGGGGTAGATGGAACCCAATTAGATTCCATTTGTTCAAATTCTTCTTATTGATTCCAAGTTTCGTCATTGAAGAGTCTTTGGCCATTAACTCTGATGGTAATTCCTTCTTCTGGTATTTTTTTTCCCTTCATTTTTTTTACAATGCTGGTCCTGTGGTCAACCCCCCCCCCCAAAAAAAAAAACAATTTTAATGGATTTGGAAATGCAGGTTCGGCTTTATTAAAATTTCGAGCGAGAATTGGCTGTGATCCTTATGGTGCTTTATTGAACTGGAATTCCAATGATAGCACACCATGCATGTGGTTGGGGGTTCATTGTGTTGACAGTAAAGTGCAAATGTTGTAAGTTCTTCATGCTATGTTTTCCCCCCTCAGTATACTCACTAATAGATTTCATTTTGTTTGAGATCAACGAAAGAGTTTTTAGTTTTGAAGTTCTTTATGGTGTAAACCGTGAATAGATGAATCCTCTAACGTCATTCTTGTTGTTTGCGTTTAGGGATTTGGGTGCCCTTTCTTTGGAAGGAACGTTGGCGCCTGAGCTGGGGAAATTAAGCGACTTAAGATCACTGTAATAGTTACACAATCTCGCTTCCTTATATTTGATCATCTTGTTAGTTATAACTTATAACTTTAAACCATTCGAACTTTCTGGGTCCTTTTCTCGCTGTTTATGTTTACAGTGTGCTCTATAAAAACCATTTCTCGGGCGCCATCCCAAAGGAGTTTGGTGAGCTTACAAAGCTGGAGCTATTGGATTTGAGGAAAAATAACTTGAGTGGAATGATTCCATCCGAGATACTCAACATGCTGTCTCTAAAACACTTGTAAGTTCATTTTAGCAAGTTTATACCATGCAACTTTATTCTATGTTATTTTCAACTGAATTGCCTTCCCTCCCAGGTTACTTGGTGACAACAAATTTGACAGCTGTATTCCTTCAGATCTCTGGAAACTAAATTTGCTCTCCGAACTGCAGTTAGATGAAAATCTTATGCCAACGTTGACTGCTGGAATTGGCTGTGTAAATAGGAAGCTTGGACTTCGGTAAGAGCCATACACATTACTGTGGATTTTTCATTGCTTGTTGTTGGTCGATTCCCTTCCCTTATTATACGTTCACAACACAAGCATGCATGCTACAAAACCATCAGAACTCTGACCCCGTTGCCATTTGGTTGACCATATGAATGTGGCATGAACTTGAAAATAGCCTGGACTATTGGAAAACTAGAAGACAATATTCGTTTCATTAAGCAGACTGATTCTCGAATTGCAGAGAATGAGTGCTTCTGAGTTCAAATTACTCAGTTTGACTTTTAGCCTTCTGAATGATACTGAATCAATTCAAGTAATTTGGTATTCTACATCTTTGGCTTGTAGTCCCCAATAAACTGTTATTTCTTGTGGTTGTATCAATTTGGAATTATGGGGTCACTCATCTTTTTCCTTAATTCTTTTGTCGAAACTTTGGAGTCTGGAACAAAAAAAATCCTGAACATAAACAGATAACAGTTTGATATTTCCATTAAGCAATTTGGATTTGTAAGTTTTGCAATGATAAGCCTCAGTCTACTGTCAAAGCACATGTGGGAGATTAATAGAGTTCATCTTCTGGAGTAGCTACTGATTAATTGAAGTTATTAAGAGTTATAGCTCTATAGTTTCCATTTTCTTTCTGGACGAAACTCTATAGTTTCCTGGTTACCTCTATTGCTTGCCATTACCATAATATGAACTTTTTATATATCATGTTACCATCTTTTCTTTTTTATTGCTGCTTGTATTATTTTAATTTTTAAATCATTTTTGTCTCTCACATGATTTACCTTCTTACAAGGTTTAAGTTGCAAAAGGACTCTTTGGCTGAGAATCAAGACCGTTGCTGCAGTGATGTAGCTAGTGAGTAGAGGAAACACATCTATTAGACAACAAAGTATGGTTTCTGGGAAACATTGACATCTTTTTCTTAATTAGGTTCATCTGTGCAAGAAATGGACCATGATGGCCTTAGGAATGTTGTCCCTTTTGAACGTCGTAAGCTGGTTGAGCAGTCAAAGAACCTCCCGGCTGTACCTGCTCCTGCTGTGCCTTCCACTGAACAGATCATTTCCGTCCCAACTATCAGTAGTGGGACTTTCTCTGCTGTGCCCAAAAAAAAGAATCGTGAACGGGCACCACCAGTTGATTCTACTCCTCAAGGGTCTACTAATTCAGAGCCTGTTGACCAGTCATCCGAATCCTCTGAAGCAGAGCCACTTGCTCAAGCAGGCTCTGGAAACTTGTGGAAATATCTCATTGCAATTCTGTGTGTGGTCATCTTGCTTGTTATTGTGGTTGTGGTCATCAGGTATCATAAACGGGCAGAACAAACTACAGGTCCTTGGAAAACTGGACTAAGTGGACAACTGCAGAAAGCTTTTATTACAGGTAATTGTAAAATATTTTGTTTGATTTGTCTAGTTGAACTATTGGTTTTTGAGCCTGGTTGAATTTTTTAGATGGTCAAATGACATCTTGAATCTTGACTGTGACACTGTTGTATATGTTGACAAGAAAATTCAAACATATCCTGGGAAATTGTATAATTTAAACAGTCAGGTTTTTTATTTACATAAACAAGGGCTTGTTCATGATAGGAAAAACCATGATTAAACTAAAGGTTCCTAAAAATATTCCGTCAATGTACAAAAATGTACATGTTCATCTCCGTCATATGCGATAGCCCTGTTAATTTACTTTCTGAATTTGGAGAATGATTTCTTCATTTTCTATGGAACATATGGCAGCCAGTTGATATTCCTTGATCCGTGACCGTGATAATGTCCAGAGTCCAGACCACCCTGAATTTATTAGCATGGTACTTGTATTATTTATGTTTTATGCATACAGTCCTGATTTTTTTTGTTTATTTGAAATGTAGGGGTGCCTAAGCTAAACCGGTCTGAACTTGAAGTAGCTTGCGAGGATTTTAGCAATATAATTGACATGATTGGTGGTTGTACAGTGTATAAAGGGACTCTTTCCAGCTGTGTTGAGATTGCTGTTGCATCAATTAGTGTTTCATCTTTAAAGGAGTGGTCAGATAACTCAGAAATAGCCTATCGGAGAAAGGTTTGTTCTTTCTAGAGTCTCAAATCATAAAAGCGGACTATTTTTTGCCATAACAGAATCAATTTAATACTTTTAAATCTTCTGATAATTTGTTTTATCCAAACTTTTTAATCAAGTGTAATATTGGAACTCACCATAGATCGATTCACTGTCAAGAGTTAACCATAAGAACTTTGTCAACCTTATTGGCTTCTGTGAGGAGAATGAACCATTCAGTAGGATGATGGTTTTTGAATATGCTCCGAATGGAACCCTTTTTGAGCATCTGCACGGTAATATCATCACTTACATGCACGTTTCCTTGTGAATATTTTACTCAATCTCGATTCTTTGAGAGCTTAAATATTTGTTTTTGTTTTCAGTCAAAGAAATGGAGCACCTTGATTGGACTGCAAGGGTGAGGATCATCATGGGTGTAGCCTATTGCCTCCAGTATATGCACGATGATCTCAATCCTCCCTTACCTCATTCAAACTTAAGTTCAAAGACCGTCTTTCTGACAGATGATTACGCCGCAAAGGTACATCAATTTCAATCCAAATTGCCTTCATTAAGTTCTTATCGTCATAAAATGCTCAATTCTCTTTCGCCCTCTTTTCACTTTTGCAGGTTGGAGAAATTGCTAGTTTAGAAGGTATAACCAAGTTAAAATCCTCAGGTGATGGTGAATCAGAGCATTCCGAGTTGCCACCAGTTGTTGATCAGGAATTGAATGTATACAGCTTTGGAGTATTGTTACTTGAAATCATTTCTGGAAAGCTTGCTTACTCGGAAAAGCAGGGACCTATCGAGAAATGGGTATGCTTAGGATGACACCTAATGAGTAGTGATTTGGTTCCCCAATAGTTATATGCATTCGGTAAACTTAATAATCATGAACATGGCAGGCCAGTGAACATTTGAATGATAAAGGGAGCATCAGCAAGATGATCGATCCGATCCTTAAATCTTTCAAATATGAGGAGCTTGAGGTAATCCGTGATGTGGTACGCGAGTGCCTCCTATCAGATCCAAGGCAAAGACCAACAATGAAGGATGTCACTTCCAAATTGAGGCAAGCCATTAACATCGCCCCTGAGCAAGCTGCACCAAGACTTTCCCCCTTGTGGTGGGCTGAACTAGAGATTTTATCAATGGAGGCAACCTAGTCTCTCTTTGACCTCTCTTCTGTGTTGTAAGTCAAGCTCTCACTCTCTCTCACTTCGCCTCGAACCGGAAAGAATTAGCTTTATCGTCCTCCCCCACCCCACCCCCGAAAAATAGTCCTTATCCCTTGTAATTGGTTTCCAATTTTTGTGTCTTTGCTTTCATATACACACGCATCATACTTCTCCAGTCCTTCAATCCTTTCATTATTGCCACCACTACCATTGCAATAGATGTGTATTTTATACTTGGCAACAAGGATTCCATGTATACACGACTGTAATAGATATAATGTATTCTGTGATTATAAAGTCTTGTGTTGTGATACTACTAACATACCGGCAAATCTATGTTTTGACATTCTCTTTTTCCCTCTTAAACGGTTTTAGGTAGTCCAGAGTTCTCTTTTAATAACTTTTATGCCATTTGCCAAGGCTTTTGATTTGATATTAGTTTCATGATAAGATAGTGGGGTTCTTTTTCCCTCTCTTTTTTTATTTTTCTTTTCTTTTCTTTGTTACTAATTGAAGGATTTGTGCACTCCAGAGTTGCAATAACATCAATCAATAATGTGCATGGTTCTGCCTAAATCAACCATACTAACATAAAGTGCTGGTTTCATTTGAAAAAAGAAAAGAAAAAGTAGCATCATGAAGCAAAGAGAGGATATACATTTACAACAGATGATCACAGGTAAAAGAGAAGAAATTTAAACACGTATTGAAGCTATAGATCATGAATATAGTTTTTGAAACAGAAGATTTTTAACCCTGTGTTTCATTTACAAGACAGAAGTTTGAACTTATTGAATAATCTCATTAGTAAAAGGGAGTTTTATTCTCCCTAGAGGATCCGAGTTTGAATAATTGTAACGGAAGGATGTGTAAGGATGTTAAGAAAAGAGTTGGTATTTGACAAAAGGCCTTGCATCATGCTTACATGGGCACATGGGGTGTGAGATACACTAGTATTTTCTACATGTATGCATGTATACGAACATTTGACTAATGGTGACAAAATTGTTTAAAGGCGATGACAAGAATTTTGCTTCTTCTGGGAATCTTTCAAAACTTGAATGTCTTCCGGACAAGTTTAGGTCCTAACCAATCACCTCGCGGTACCTGAGAACCCAAGTACCAAATACAATGAACAATTGATGGGAATGCAAATAATTCGAAACTTTGTCTTTCGCGACATGTTAAGAAAGGATTTGAGGGAAACAACCCACACACACTACCATTCCCCTCTTCTCAATCTTTTGCAGCTTTGGATCGCATGTAACTGCCCACCGCTTACGCATATACTTACAATCCAAAACCTCGCACAAATAATACAAAGCGGAAAGCTGCTTTGGTTAGCGTTTTAAGATGGCTGGCGATGATCAGCTTCTACAATGCTGTTTCCATGAATGGATATATCAGGCTTGCTTTCACCCTCATGGAACACTGCCTTGGAGAACTCCATTCTCTGGATAGCTGGTTGTAGGCCTTCCATAGACATTCAGCTTAATTAGGCACTCTGCGGGTCACAGGTGGAGTTCCAGCGTCGTGAGATCATTCAAGGCTTGGCCAGGGGAAGCCTCGGCCGGATTTCGGCTACTTAGTTGAGATTGATCAATGATTTGCACATGAAAACGATCAGGGAAGAAGAGAAGCTGTCGAATCAATTGGTCAGCTTGCAGGAGAACATAGCGGACCAGCCAATAGCCATGGTTGCCAAAAGGTTCAGCCATGTGGGTGAACCGAGTGGGGAAGTAGACCGTGCGCTGGAGGAGCATGAGGTTTCTATGTCGAATATACTGCAGGAGGCTGAGAAGCTGAGGCTAAGCACCCTAAAGGAATTACTCGGCATATTAACTCCTTTGCAGGGCGTGGATTTTCTCGCGGAGAGTAAGAAGCTTCACCTTTGCATGCATGAGTGGGGTAAAACAATTGATAGTAGGCATGGTAGGAGTCAGATAACTATATATGTATATATAGCACCTCACAATGCCATTTCGTTATCTTGTTTTCTTCTTTAAGTTTATTTTATAGGATGTATATATCTAATCAATCCATCCAAGTAAAAACCAAAACTCGTACTATTTATTATAGTTTGAATCTTTGTTATTCCAATTTCCTTTGAAATCTTCTGGCTTTGTCAAATTTTTCAGCCAAAATTTGAACCAAAATGAACACTCGAACACCATGAACTCATGCCTTGTTGAAGCCTGCAAATGCTACCAACACAGGCTAATGTTTTACTGAAAATATGCACATGGTATCAACACTGTTCATGAATCTGGGCCTTTTTCTCGAAATCCATGCAATTTCTATGGTTGTTATATACCCAAAAAAATGAACCCAATTAACCATTAAAAATGGTTTCAACATTTCATTCCCGGATTGAAATAGGGACAACATAGATTGGGCCACGTTCAATAATGTCCTAACAAGATCCACAACAAAAGATTAATTGTATAATTGCCCCCATACCAACGCAATCCACAGGTAATTCAAATTGACAGATAATTAAAAGATTTTAAGTAAAATAATAGATTTCAGTCCTCTTGGCAGTCCTTGTCTATGTTACAACACTCTAGCAACAACGAGCACAACCTACTGAGGAAAAAACTGTTTCATATGAATCCTCCAGAAAACCATTCCCAGAAACCTGCTGCTTTGGGACGGGTGTGCTTCAGCCCCTTCTTGTTTGATTGTTGTAGTATTGGCTTCACTTGATTTTTGATTTAGTCCCTGAACCGTTGTTGGTATTTCACGTTCCTCACTGGTGTTGTTGAGGTCACTACCCATCCTTGAATGGTTTATTAATTGAAAAAAAAATGATGCTTTGAGTTTTCTATGGTTTCAAATAGGGTTTTACTTCTAGCTAAAACTTATAAGAAAGACAATAAACTTTTAGTTACCAAAGCAACTGCTAAACTCTTGTAAAAGATTATTCAGGTCATACGCACTTACCGTAATTGCAAGTGCTAAGCAAACAGGCCAAAGTAGCATGTAGAAGCAGAGATGAAGCAAATATACCAAACATAGATGCTTAATGCTAAGCATTGAACTTTAACTAGCCAAAATTACAAAAGAGAGATAATATAAATGAAATGTATCGTTAATTAAGTTGATGATAATATACAAGCGAGAAATACAATTTCTGGGATCAGTAGAACTTTGTATTGAATTCTCTACGACCTAATATGCCATTATCAAGGCAAGAATGGATCATATAGATATATCTCAGTCATCTCAAGCTCAAAAGATACCCTTTTTCTAATGATACAAGAACCTGGGATAAAAGAATGGGAAAACAAAAATAATTGTGATAAAGAGGAAAAAGCTTTACCCTTTTCCCTTCATCCATTCTATTCCGTATCTGACATGGCATATGACTTGTCGGCATCAGCAGGTGCAGGTGCATGTTCCGGTGATTGTTCCAGCGTTAAATTTTCCCTTTCGTGCCTTCTCAAGAACTCTCCAGGTTAACTCTATAATCGTTTTTCCTTACTGTAAAACTAACCAGCTTCGCTATCTCTTCCAATTTTGATATAATTCTCGAAACTGGTGCCCCTGACACAAATCTTGACCCTTCCTCTCCTTCCTCAAATAATCCAGATAAGTTAAATCCCGGCGATAACGAAATAATATCAAACGCATTTAAACTAGCTGGACTCGGCAATGAGGCCACTTTCTTCCTAGTTTCAACCTCAGCGTCTGGCTCCGAGTATGTTGAATGGTCCGAGGATGATCCCAGTTCATCATCGTCGTCGTCCTTAATACTGCAAAATTTATCGTCTTCGAGGTAAAATTTAATATGCTTAAAACCCTTTTTTAACCAACGGTTCTCCATGATTTCTGTGATTGTTATTCTCGTTTCCGGGTTCGTATCAAGAAATTTTGTAAGTAGGCGAATTCAATTAGGTGAAAACCATTTGGGACACCTGAACTCGCCCTTGTAAATCTTCTTATATATGGCCATAATGCTACGATCGTGAGAAGGTAAATACCCCGCCATCAAAACAAATAAAACTACCCCGCAAGACCATATGTCTACTTTCGCAGCGTCGTATCCTTTCTTCCCCAAAACTTCCGGTGCTACGTAAGCAGGGGTGCCGCAAAAAGTATGGAACAAACCGTCTTGCTGGATTTGATCCGAAACCGCGCTCAACCCGAAATCCGAGACTTTCAAATTCCCGATTTTCGCCGAGGAGTATATTCTCAGGCTTCAAGTCGCGGTGGTAAACGCTGTGTGCGTGACAGAAATCAACAGCTGAGATTAATTGCTGGATGTATTTCCTGGCGACGTCTTCTTTTAATTGGCCTTTGGCGACTTTGTGGAAGAGCTGACCACCGTGGACGTATTCCATTACGAAGTAGATCTTAGTCTTGGTGGCCATAACTTCGAAGAGTTGTACGATGTTGGGGTGGCGTACACGGCGGAGGATGAAAATTTCGCGCTTAATGTGAGCGATTAAGCCTCCATTGAGGATTTTCTCCTTGTCTAACACCTTAATAGCGACACTCTCATCGGTTTTGACATTGCGCGCGTAGTAAACTTTGGCGAAAGTACCATGTCCGAGGAGTTTCCCGAGCTGGTAACGCCCTAAGAGAAGCGCTGTGCCACTGCTGGTGTCCTTCTTTGCGACTACGGAGGTGAAATCCATTGCCGTGTCCGCTAGGATTTGAAAGGATGGAAACTAAAGGCTTCCCTTCTCCTTTTGTTGAGTGGTTTCTATAATTTGTTATATTGTGGCGTTAGAGAGAAAATATATGTTTTTATATAGAAAATTAATAACTGAATTATACATTTTCATACAGTTTTATTTATTTTTAAATTATTGTCGATGCTGGTTAATTGAATTATTATAATTTGATTGATATCAATTCAATAAAAGATAGATTGGTTTTAGCAGTTGAAAAGAATGTTGTTCTATCTAAAGATTATAGATTCAAACAACTGCATTAATAGGACGTACGTTACGTTGTCAAATGATTAAAAAATTATAAACAATTATTATCTTGTAATCACCTCATACTAATAAAAAAATATTCAATAAAATATTACTAAAATATAAGTGTTAAACATAATTAATTCCATTGGAAAATCCACCATAAATCTTATTATTTAAAGAATCTAAAACCCTCTCAACATTTTTTTATATAAACCCTCCAACTTTGATGTTCGAAAAGAAGACAAAGAAAAGAGAGGTCATGTTCAACATTTATATTTCATTAAACTTAGTTAATATGTTTTTAAAT